CAAACCAATATAACAAAATAAAATCTCTAGAACTTTCTCTGTATTCATTGTGCTACATCTAGATGAACGACATGAAACAGCATATTTTTCTTCCGTACCGTCTGTAAAAATCCATAGATAATTCTAATGTTAGTTATAAATGACAGAATTGAGGTCATCGTCGCTTGATGCAATCCTCCAAGCAAGGTCATCAGTGAGTTGATTAGAATTCTCTAATTTTTCCTATAGATTTTGTATTCGTCAGTGCTTCTACTTGCCATTTATTTCAGTACAATCCTTTATTATTCTTGAATCTTTTCAACATATGAGGTCATCCAAATGAGAATATCCATTGTGTGCGCTTCTAGTTTTCAAAATATCTTGGCATCTCCATGATTTGGCGTGGAATCATCATTTTTATATTCTTTCAAATGAAAGGAGAACTCTTCCCGACTTAAAGTTGACCAGTCAATCCCCATTATCTAAACTAGGTATAATTCATTTCGACTTAAAAAAAAAAAATACTGTCGTTGGACAGAGTTTTTTACGGAATCAATTGAGTGAAACTTTTACTAGGCTCAGTTTTTTTACAAAAACACCAGTTTTTGTCGTTTGAAGAGATTTCATAGATTTTTTCAATATAAGTGAAGAATTATTTTCACGTTTTCTAAATTCTTGTCACTCACATCACGTTTGCAGTTCATTTGAAGTATATTATTTACATGATTTTTTTCTATGGTCCACAATGTGTTTCAACAATTTGAAAAACTCCTTGATAAACATCAAGTATTGCTCCAAAAAATAAAATCCGAGGGAAGAAATAAAACACTCGCCTCTGTTTCCCTGTTACAATTCAACGGTTTGGATACACTGATGGCAACATCTCAACGCCAAATTTGGCCCAGGTTAGGTTTGATTGTGCTGCTGCGGACTTAGTGACTTCAATGTACCCGAAAGGTAATAGAAATCGGGAAAATATTCAAATGAGCCTGTTGCCATGGGCGTACTTTTGCCAATATTAATCGAAGAGAGGGAAAATGTATATCAATGAAAAGTTTCAGGGCGATTTATATTATGCAACTGTGCAGAGATTTCATGTAACTTGTGGCGTTTCTATTTTATGGATTGAATACTATTAGGAGATAGTGGAAAGGGTAGTTGTGACGTGTATAGATACACCGTAGCTCTCGGCCTTATTTGTTCGATAGAGACGAAACTTTTACTTGGCTTATGCGCTACCGCGTATCTCGATCGTTTCTATGAATATTCATCAAATGGAACCAAAGGTGGTGATTTGAAAAACGGATTTATGCCCATGCGAGGTACCCGAGTGGAGAATTAGCTCAGGTCTGGATCAAGTTCGAATCAAGTGAGACTTGATGTTGGGTCAGGTACTGATTCCACAACTTGATCAGGACTTGATCTAGCATAAAACGCCTTGACTCGATCCGGATTTGATCAGGCGTGTCGAATCAGGGTTTGATCAAACAAAACGAATTAATCCTTGCTAACCGAAATTAAAGGTGTTTAGTAATGGTAATGAATTTAAAATAAAACATTAATCATTCTTTCTGATTATGTCACCTACATCAATGGATACTTACTATAATTAATGCTGAAAGAACCTAATTATTTTTGCCGACACTGGGGATCGAACCGGGACCTTACGAGTACTAATCCTATGCCCTAACCACGACACTATAGCGTTATTATTATTGCGTGAACTGTTTGGCTTATACGTTGTGTATAATAGGGAGACTTCATGTGGAAAGGGGGCATGAATTCAAAACAACTATGTTCCTCCATAAATTCTAGTCGAACAATTCGATCCTTGTTCTCGCTTCCCGCTTATCATCACCACTTAATTCATTCACCTTCATTGGATATTGGCTTTTTTGCTATAATATTTATCCAAACAATTGAATGATACTTTGGTCTTAACTAAGTAGACCTTGATCAACATCCTGGCAATAAACAGTTATTCAGCGCAAACACAGCAGCCTACAACATGAAGGTGTGACATTTAGTACTAGGCAATAGAGTGTTTATACATTATGTCATTGACGCCGTAAGAACTCTCAGGACATATCGGATACCTCACAATCGTGCTGCCCAAATATGCGAAGACATCCAAGAACGAGCGTGCTCTGTATTTAGTACAAGCTAGTTATCCTTGCCGGTATTATTATTGTTTCCCGTTAATGCGATCATTGCGCAATCAAAAGGCTCCAACGCGACCTTAATTAGACAATAAACCGTACGGCAAGCATGCTGCCAAATTGATTGTAGGACTGTAAGTATTGTACCCTTCTGGAGTTGATCAGCTGTTACTCAGGTGCTATATAATAATAGCCTGAGTAATTTCGAACGCTGATCTCAAAATTTGTCTCAATTCTCCTAGCGAAATAATATGAACAAGCAACGAGATTCGATTTCCCAGTTCACTCAATAGCCCTTAAATACAAATGGTTGATACTTGATCCATTTCTCCTCTTCTTATATATTACTCTTAGTTGGAGTCAAAAACGGAGTGACATCGATGGTTTTGTCGTAAAGATCGAATAGTATGACACTGATTTCTGCTACAATATTTAATCGGACGGGCGTGAATGAGATGTTCCAGTAAATCTTATACCTCTTATTCAGACTCCATAGGCAGAACCTCTATGAGTACAGAGTAATAGATATGTTCTATTTATTCTATAAGAGTACCGCTAACATTGATAGAGTGCTTTCTCATCCGCATTATAATGCTTGATCAAATTTCCCATGACACTTATTGGTTAAGTCGGCTGATGAAGTATCAAAGCTTCGGAAGGGCGTTACTAAGCCAGACGTCGTGTGTCGACCTTGGAACACCTTAATATGATTGTAGTCCAAATGACATAAGCAATGAACCTCTCGAAAAGTTTCTTTGCCTGCATTAAATTGAAACTCATGCTAACTGTCCGCGAATCCACCGTGCCTACGTTAAACGGGAGCTTGAGGTTGAAGCACCTATGTAAGATATATGGCTTGCCTAATACTTTCTATTACTACGTCCTTGGGCTAGATAAATTGCAACATAATGCAGTGCAACTTATAGCGATAGAAGCAAGATAAAACAGAAGAACACTCTGAGTACAATCTTGGACGACTTTTCTTTTCAATTGTGTCAACTCTGAAATCAGCTTCCCTTCATCAGATGTTATTGTAAAGCGCATTTTCCACAGACACACGAGAATTTTAATGCTCCTCACAAAGAGTACCCCAACCGCGAAGACTCTGATAGTTGGAAAATGAGCTACTAACTTTCATTACTAACATTTTACCTTTACTTTTATAAGGTGAGTGATACAGACATTTCCTAATTGCCCTGGAACAATACTCCTCCTTAACTAAGAGAGGAGTCTGCTGCAGGGCAGCATCATGATGTCTGCGTAGGCAAAGGGCACCAAGAGTGATAACCTCCTGCATTCGACTATATATGCAAAAAAAGCTACCGTAACGTCATTTCGATGATAATGGTGCACGATCAAGTGGTGTGTTATGGATAACAATTCATGTCTTTACAAGATTAAGTGAGACTTGGTCATAATGCAGTACGTAAAGACATACAACTTTAATATCAATACCCTAATTTCACAGCCAAGTATTCCTAAGGCCAGTAGATTTGCATAATACACTATCATACCGTCAACGTCACCGACACTTGGTTTTTGGACTTCTGCGTTCCGCTGTTCATGCGTGAATAGAGTTTTAACCGTCATATGTAGCAAAAGGAGTGGTAAACTATCGTATGTTTATTTTTTTTTTTTATTCTCGGGATCCTTATGTCTCTCATTTCCTACTGCCATTTACCGTATTAAAGGCGCTTCTCGTCTTATAGCTGTAAGTCTTTCCTGTTATGCTTCTCCGTCTGTTTTCGCGATACCATTGACCGACTTCGGTTACCGCACTCACTTGACTTATACTGAGGCAATCCATGGAAAACCTCAGTTATGTAGCCGGTCAGTAATGCAGGGATTTTGTTGTGTTCAGCGTCATACTGGCTCGATGGATACAGTAGTTCTCTGCATGCGTCCTTAACGCCGGTAGTCCCACACCGAGAGGTGTAACTAGGCGAACATCTCATTATACCCTAGTGGGACGAGACCATATAAAAGAGGAAATAACAATAAAACTTAGATAAACTTGATTTTCAAGTACGTCAGGGTTTACTAGCTATACTTATCGAATGAAAGGCTACGAGAAGAGCGAAGTGAACGCTAAGCGTTAGTGTGTTTTTCTTTTCATTATTATTATTACTATAAAGACCCATCACTGGCTCGGTTGGGAATTCAGCCTGTGAGTACTACTCGTTTCATTAATTTCCCTGATGAATACACTTATTTCAATGAACGTAAAAAATATATGGTGAGCTTACTTAAATTGAAATAAGAGCTTTGCTTTCTGAGTATGATAAGAAATCCTGTATGCAATACGCTTCGAAACGATAAGTTCCGGAATGCTGCACTTGGCATTGTAGTTCTTCAATAAATTCGGGTTTTTACCAACGTTTCATTATACTCAGAATTGTTTTGACATGTTTTTAAGGCAATGCATTTATTTCGATGGTTTAATTTCACGTGGGTGGGCTGGATTATTTTCACAGTACCGTGGGATTGAATTACGTGCGTGTAGCGATTTGCTGCGGCGGTCATCACGGTTGCAATTTCTTGGGGCACTTCCAGCTAAAACGGAAATAATTCTTTCCCTTTCGCATTAAAGCTCTACGTCTGCCCCCACTTTTTTGTTATTCTCACTCATAATGCTGACTTTTCTAACATACTGGAATTTATTCTCAATATCATGTGCGTGTCAGATTCGTGCGTGATACATGTATCTTTCCCTCAACTGGAGGTATATCAAAACACTTTACTTATACAAGATGAAGTTGTACTTGTATACCAAAATGTAAAATGTATTGAAATCACCACGAAGTCTTAATTAGTCCTTTCATGATCTTCATTTTGTGTATATATATATATTTTTTTTTTCAGGATGCAAGAGTTTCTTTAAAAGAAGTGTGAGGCGGAACTTAACATACTCATGTCGGGGGAATCGAAACTGTCCGATCGATCAACACCATCGCAACCAGTGCCAATTTTGCAGACTCAAAAAATGCCTGAAGATGGGTATGCGCCGGGAAGGTATGCATTGTAATGAACCATTTTTATTATATTTGTAGTATTTTAAAAATAACTTTAGTTTATACTAGAATTAAAAGAATGATTTTTCATAGACAGAGAAACAGAGGGTCAGAGAGATAGAAAACGTGGTGCGATCGTGATCAATCAAGTCGAACGACTTTTTCACGGTTATGTCACACTGTCCTTAATAAACTTTTGCAGTGTGCGAATGTGCCCAGAATTCAAATTATTATTTCTTGTCAAAATGTTTAGCATCCTACTCCATCCTTCTTTGATTGTGAATTTCAAATTACTTCGATTATCCTTGATGTAAGAAATGAAAAAATTCATGTACATGATCGCAAAATCTGACATGCATTCAGTCCCACAAGACCCTTGACCCCGGGATGTTTATCGGCAATATGAAATCAGACGATGACTCCAATGGGTTAATGGATATTAGGTCGAAAATGTGGATTGATCAGATCCAGTCACTTAATCTGAATCCACTTGAAAATCGACTAGTAAAAGGCTCTACTTTTAAAATCAGCCATTCCCAATAACTGCTGCCCCATTCCTCATCCCCTAGCAGGACTTTTCGGCAGGCAGGGGGCTGTGAATGTACTTAAGCTATGCACGGAAAGTCTAATATATTCAGAATGTTTGCGTCTTTTTATTTTGAGCAACATACTCTAAGCATACTCTAAATAATTCAGTCATACTGAAAATATTTTCAAAACGAACTGGTCTATTGGTTTTTATATTCCGTGCATTAAAAAAAATTGTGTTCAACTTATACTTATACTTTACTTCACTGTATATACGAATTACTTTCTCAATTCAAGTATTAAAATGTCGTGTTATTTTCATGGTTTCAAGAATAGGTCTTTGATAAACGATATTTGAATGATCAATTTATATATACTGGGCGAGAGACTTTCAAGAGAATCGAGGGAGATTCACGAGGAAATTACGGACGAGCTAAAAAGACGACGGAAAGACGGTGGAAGATGGGGTGAAGAGGCCGAACGTGTTTCATGGGACCTGGCAGTAGTTGGGTAAAGATTTAATTGCGGATTGTGATGCCCAGTGCCGCGGAACAGCCCGAGGATACTTTCTCACGCCTCCCTCCCTCAACCAACTTCTATCTCTTTTGTTCCTTCATCTTTTTCCCTTTACACACACGAACATTCCAGTATATTTGTTCTCGCTCCACTTGACTCCAGTTCTTTCATTCCACCTCTACTCACACTCCTTCGCACTTATTCGCCTTACTCACATCACGCGATAATAGTTTCACCTCGTAATTTTCATTATTGATTGATGTTCTTTTCTAGCATTGCTCTTATCATTTACATATAACCCACATCTATTGATTTTTAGTCTGCAACAATTGGATAGATGTTCTAAAAATAAGCCTTTTGATTTCAATACATGTGCTAAGAGAGTTATTCTCGGCAATTGAAGTAATGTCTATTCTCCTAGTATTTTTAGTTTTGAGGCTTTGGCGATTTTCTCCAAATATCCCTCTTTTTTTCTCTAACTAGATTTTAGTTCACCCATTTTTTCCATGCAAATCTCAAGATTTATCATTTCTCATTTTTGGAAAGTTATTTTGAAACTCCCGAAGTACCTTTTTTTATTTTCTCGATATTAAAGATGATCATTAAAAAAAAAAATATTAAAAAATTGAATATGTATTAGTAGCCTACATTTTGAACAGGTAGTTATTCCATGAAATCATTCACAGTCAGAAACATTCTATAAAAGCTTTGTTCGCCGCTATCTTCTCCCTAATTTCGCCGCGAAATATAGTTGAAGTATGGTTTCGTAATTTGTACTTCAATCGCCTGTGAAAAATTACGCCACCGTCACTTAAATTCCTCAAGTTATGGCGATATCCGTCAAGAGTATTGTAACTCCCGTAATTGTCAGTTAACATGATTTTCCATGCAGTGCATAAATTCCATTTTTTTGCATATCCTGTCAGCAACATAAAAACGATTCACAGTCATAGTGATAACACTATTAATCTTTTTCAGAATGGAACATGTCGTATTAGTTCAATAAGAATTTATTTGCTTACTATTTCTCACAATTTCTCGTTTGGAAATAGTAGTACCGCTACATACTTTCCAAACTAGAAAACTTGAAAAACACTATGAAAAATTATTGTCCATGCTTTTGGGAATTTCCAATTGTAGCCTTTGGCTCAAACGGCAACTCCACACCAGTAAAATCTCCATCCCCCTATTGTAAAGCAATTAATTTTGAGGAGTTAGAAGCTACAAGATTTTCACTTGTCTTTATATCTTCGTAGATAGTATTTTCTTTTTAATTCTTTCTCATTTGCTACACCTCCATGTCACTTGCTTTTCGTCTTTCCTCTTTTCAACCGGAACAGTTCTGCCAATTTTGATAAACCAATTGGTGTGCATGGTTTTTTTTTCAGAATAAATTCACAGTTTCATTCGTAGGAAAATTTCTCCAACAAAGTTTCCTACATCCTCTTTTAGTACAACCCATTGTCTGGTCAGCAGAAACAGTTCATGTGGTACCACATAAAAATAGGGCGATGTCTATTTGCCTGTGATTATAACAAAACTTTCCATCTTCGACCAAATTAAACTAGCATTTTTCTATAATCCATTGATCATTATTTATTTTATTTTATTTACTTTATTTTTTATTTATATCATTCCTGCCCTGCATGAACTATTGAGGAAAGCCCGTAGAGACCAGGAGTCTGGTCTGAAATTTTAGTTCCATTAGACTCTTCTAAAAAAATTACATTGAGTGTATTTATATCATGCAGTCGAATTGAAGAAGAGTGAAAGTAATTCGTCAGTGGAAGGAACATGAAACCCAGCAATCAATTCCTTTCTTATTGATATTATTCAAGTTGACAACTTATTTATTAGCACTTAGACATTTTCTCGTCTAGAATATTGAACTGTTTCCCATCCAGAATTTACCGATACTCACAGGCCAATATATATACATGGCTAAGTATCGGTCCATTATGTGGTCGCCCAACATTGAGATCTTCCAAAAGACTCAATATTGGGCCAATGTTTTTTCGCTGAACATCGCGGCTTTGCTTAACGGCCTGAGTTTAATCTAATATCTGCTCACCAATCATCGGGGTCTCCAATAAAAACGGCTTCGTAGCCTATCATCAGCATCGACATGATATTTGACTGCTATTTTTCGAATAAACGCGTGGATCTATTTAGTTAATTTATGGAGAAAACAAAAAAAAATATTCTCAGTAAAGATTACCGAAAAAATTGGAAATGATATTGAGTTCGTACAACCTAGAAATAGTACTTTCGTTAAATATATGGATAACTCGCAAAAAAAGAAGAATATTCATCTTTTTGAAGGTAGAGAAGAAATGTTTGCAATTAGTGAACACTGTCGATACTTGGATATTTCCGAATTCGAAATTTTGGAATTGTTGGCAGACTGAGTAGCAAGCTTGCTGTACAACCCGCACAAATCTTCTCCGGCATCAGTGTGTCATTTTTCTGGAGCCGGTTCTTGGAATTCGTACGCGATATTTCATCTGGTAAAAGAGTATAGCAGCAACCTGTTTTTTCATTTGATTCATGGCTTCTGAGTCCTTTTGGGTTTCATCAGACACTCTACCAATTCATATGCAAGCGGTTAAAGATTTTTATGCTGCCGCACAGTCGCTTCTCAAATGGGAATCTTATGAATATAGTGACAGCATCAATAACGTCGTTTAAGTTTGGAAATAGAGCATTTTTAATGTCTGTTCAATTAAGCTACTTTCCGCAAATATTGGATAATTCCCCGTGTAAAAGTGTACAAAACAACCACGTAGTGGGCCGAGGTCGACAGCAATTCAACCGACGATCGGCGCCGATGATCTGCCGATCATTGAAGCATTACTCATGCTTCTCAACGGCGCCGATGTCTTCCAAATCTCATGCGTAGTCTAATCAAGCTAGCAGAAAACATTGCCACCCTTAATTAATTCAGCTGCCCATGAAAATATACCAGTAGACGCGTAATATTAATAGTCATGACAACACAGAATGTACATTCAAATCTATTGTGCCTACGCGCGTGTTGGATTAAGGTGCGCGCGCAAAAAAGGAGTAGACTGTAAAATGGCAACAAATTGATGAGGTTAAGATACTTTAGTATTTTTTTAGATGATAATTATATAAAGTAGGGCATTGTTTTTTTCGTATAGATTTGTAGTTGAATTGTCGCTCTAGATGCCGACATTTTTTCTTTACAATTGGATGAGGTCAATGAACGCCGTTGACATTCCTGACGTTAAGTACACAAAAATCGATAGTTCCCAGTCAATTAATTTATGTTCCCGGTTGAACAGTGCGTAAGCATTTTGATACATTGTTCAGGGAGCTTTTACGCATCTATTGGTGTATTTTCATCGGCAACTGAATCAATTGAGGGTCAAAGGCTGAAAGGACTAGACTATATAGTAGGGTTTGCCGACTTTTACAAAATGGCTGAGCATCCCGAGTGGAAATTAGTTCAGGTCTACTTGAAGTCCGATCAGAACTTGATTCCGTTTCAGTGCGGTTCGCTTGATCAGGTAAGATCTGATCAGAACCTGACCAAGGTTTGATCCAACGTTTCGGATCCTAAAAACTACTAGCGAATTTAGATCAAGTTCTGATCAGACAGGCCTGATCAGAAGACACCTGATGAAAACTTGATCAATTTTCGAGCCAGTATATTGGACCCTATAAACTACAAATGGCTTTACATCAAGTTCTGGTCAAACATGCCTGATCAGATGACACTTGATGAAGTCCTGACCAAGTTTTGACCCAGCAAGTCAGATAAACATGATCTCACTCTGAGATCAAGCTGCCTCAACACAATTTGTTCTCCTTCCGATTCAATTCACTTGATTTTCAATTGAATAGCTCGATAAAAAAAAATCACAAAGTTCCGATCTGATTCATCTGATATTCATTTGATCTACCCTTCTCTGAGAATCCTCTTTTTTCTAGCAATTGTTAATC